TATTGTCCTGTAGCCCATCCCATCCTTGTGCAGGTCTACAACTGTGTCCCTAGTGTCCTTAGACAGCTCTTTGGCCTTGCCCATAGTGGAGAAGTTGGAGTCTGATAGATTGAGTGTGTGGACAGGTGTAATTAATACAGGCAATGAGTGGACGATAGGAGGGCTTCTTAAAGACAAACTAACAAGTCTGTGAGAGCCAGAATTCTTGCTGGTTGGTAGGTGATCAAATACTTATTTCATGCAATAAAATAGATTTTTAAATAATTTATTTCCAACAATGTGATTTACTGGAATTTTTTTTTGTAGATTCTGTCTCTCACCGTTGAGTTGTACCTACAATGAAAATTACAGAACTGTCCATTCTCTGTAAGTGGGAAAATTTGAAAAATCGGCGGTGTATCAAATACTTATTTGCACCATTGCATGTATGCTGTAGCAGAAAAGCATCCTATTTCATTTCAGGTGGACTTTAACTACAGTGGGGGATACTGCACAAAAACATGGTGACATAATACATAGGTTATGATTGCGAATGACAAGAATAATCATAATTAATAAAATAATTTTTTGAAATAACAAAAATAATGAGAAATTATTTTTTTTAAATTATAATTCGTGTTAATTTCTGACTGTGCAGTCTATTGGTTCACCCTAAACAGCCAGTGCTCCAACTGCACAGATATTTGCTTTAAAGCTGCTCTAGCTCATTTCTTTTCAGCTGCTGAAGGGTCTATAGTGAGACTCGAAACAAACTGACACCATAACTGACTGCTCTTTGCTGCTCCCATCACGTCCTGTTTCCTAGCGACAACGTAAACTATGGATGCCTGGTTGTGACAAACCCTTAATGCAGCCTCCAGTCCAAAGCATTAACTGACTAACAAGGACATCTGGCAATCCAGTAGAATGCTCCAGTTACTGCTATTATGACAAGGAAGGGATGTAAAATGGGTGAATGTGTAATGTCAATATGAAACTGAGATGTTTCAGACTCTTGCAGTCTGGTAGCTGGTAGACATGAGTCCTCCTACAAACTGTCATTCAGACACAGCTTTTAACTTCTGCAGTCTCATTCTCTACCTTGATCCATATTAACCCCATTGGTAAAAGCTAGTTGCAACGCTTTCACTTCCCTCCAGGCCCAGCGTGTAAGGCAGACTAAAGGCTGAATGATTAGTAACATCCGCAGGAGGCTGTGGTGGCTGAGCGCAGTTTGCAGAGTAGCCTTTGGTAAGTGTGAGTTCATTGACCTTTAGAAACTCTGTGCTGGTGCTTGGAGGAAAGCCAGGAAGTGTGTAAACTCAGCCTGGATCTTGTGATTGCTCCTGCAGTGGAGCCCAAGCATTGTGCAAACACACCATATCTCCTCTCCAGCATCCTCCCTTAAAGTGATCCCTGTAATATCACCATTAAGGTTTTTACCAGTGGCTTAGGAACACAGGAAGTGGGCGGCATGAGTGAGGGAAGAGGTGGAGGGAGCGTGGGTTTGGTAAGGGAGGCAGATATGGGCGGGGGTCTAAGATGGCGCCAAAGGTGATCTGACAGTTCTTATCAAAACACACAACACAGTCTGTCAGTTGTTCAAATGGATCTGTTGTGGAGCTCCAGGCTTTACCTGAGGCAGTTTGCCAATGGCAACTGGCATTGTGCGAGAGGCACAGATCACCAGTCAATCACAGGCTGGGTATAAACGTTCTTCACATTGCCACTTTCATCACTTTTCAAGTGAATGCTGTTGAGAAGAAGCTTTCTGAAAGTGTGTGCTGTTTTCAGCACTTG